GCGTTGCAGGTATCGCTATCTATTCGAAAAAAAGCGCGAAGGTGATGGCATGCCTGTTATCTATGATATGGAAAGAAAAGATTATAGTGCTGGTCAGAGATACAAAAATTCATTAGATAGCTTGGACGGTAGGTACTTCTTCTCGCCATCTCCTATTTAAATTCTGTTAATTTCGAAAAAAATTTACCAGGTGTAGGCAAACATATCATGTCCAAGATATTTCTTTTTGTTCATGTTTTTATCTCTGGTTTAATTCTTTTGTTCTAACCTAGTTTTTGCTTGCTTTTAGCATTTTTAAGAATATTCTCACCAATTCCAGGGGACGAACCTGAACGAAAGAAACACAAGAGCGATAAAAAAGAAAAGAAGAAGAAGAAGGACAAAAAGAAAAGAGAGAAGGTCAGCTTCCTTTATGTTGTTCTGCAATCTTGAGGTTTCTCTTTTTCTAGAAAGATGAGGAACGTAAGCATAGGAAAACTGTTGAAGGCGGAGCACCAGCACCTCCGACTATGATGGAATTCTGATGAGAACTGTTTGGGTAAGTATCTTTGGCACCCTTGTAACATTTTATTTTTTGGGTTTTAAGTCGAGCAATTTTTGTTTGATTATTACTTGCTTTATGAAATACCTCTTTTCAAGCTTACTATGCCTTTTTTTTACTTCGGTGTGTTCGAAATTCATCGCGAAAATGCCGTAAACTCGTTTTTTCCAGTATAACATCTAAAATTTCCTTTTTTTCTCAAATGCGAGTAAGCATGTATTCAGTATGGTTATAGGCAAGCTCAATGGTTGTCGATTTTTAGAAACATAGAAATCTAAATGCCGTTCAGAAATTTGAAAGCAATTCTTTTATTGATAATTTCCTACTCTGCACAAAGAAGTTGGGAAAGCGTAGCTGTAGCATCTGTTATTTCCTGTACCCTTGCACATTGTCTACCTTACGTTGTACAATTAAGTATAAGCTATCTAGATTACAGTCATCCGAGCTCGTATAGCCATTGCTACTTCCTCTCGACAAGAAGACATAATAGCATTATGAATCTGTTTTCTTCGCATCTGACTCAACTGACGTTCACGGATAACTCGATGTTCCATGAGATAGATGTAGGAGCCAATGCCAGCTGTAATGAAAGAGATTTGC